TCATCACCATATTTAACTGTTTTTCCTCAGTTCCTCCAATGAGCTGCACAGATGCTGAGTCAGAGCAGCATGACGGAATGAATGGGGTTATTGATTGACTGATTGCTCAGAGATGACTCACGCCATTTCCTCACAAATCCTGTTCCTCTCCACGGATCTCTTGGGACACGCGGCCTCATCTGGAGGGTACGTCTCGTAATGACCAAGTCAATTCTCTCTGAAGTTGCAAATGAGCGAGGATTCATCGCAGACAGATGAGTTAAATAACTCAGCATATGGCCGTGGGGGAGGAAAATGTTAATCTCCCGTCTTTCTAGAAAGATTAGCAGGATGATCAAGGGGGATAGACAAGAGAGTCTGGTTCTAATGTGGTTCTACTGATTAGCTGTTGACCTGGACTAAAGAGCAAACTGCACAGTTGCCTTTGTTTGCCACAGCAAAATAATGCAGTTGTCCACCCAACATTTTGAACTCAAAATGAAAACCAGGTAAACACAAGTGACTTATTTCTTATGTTTCTGAAGAGGTAGAAGATCCGTGCTTTATTCCTTCAAAGGATAACAAAGATGTTGAAAACAGATTTAATGTAATGTTTAATTTAAAGTGCAAGGTGAAATCCAAACATTGATGTCACCATTTGATGCACCGTACTAAATTATAGCTTCATGCTGGTTACCCCCACCAAGTAGATTATGTTGTCATCTGCATTTGTTTCTTTGTTAGTTAGCAGGATTACACAAAAACTCCCGGATGGATTATCACAAAATGTAGGATTATTATGGAACTAACATCTGTGCAGTATATAAATATTAGTCAGCTTTAGTTGGATGAATTATACGACTATACATATTCATCTGCAACCTAAATGGTATGTACAGCTGTGAAGCATGAAATTAAAACACTAAAGTGAAGTACAAGGAACATGTGTTTTTGAGAAAAGTACTCCAGTAAATATACTTTGTTACTTCTAACCTCTGTGCATGTGTGCAGCAGGAGCAGAGTGAGGAAAGCAGCAGAGATCCAGGCTGACTCTGTGACTCTGTGCACTAAGGTAATAATGAAAGGCACAGGATCTTCCCCTGAGGGTACAGCACTAACAGAGAACAAGCATTCATTGACTGCACTCCAACATCCTGGCATTTCTCCAGGGCAGGAAGTTCTGTTCCTGATCTCGAGTGACCTCTGCATGCCTTTCACGGCAGATGAGGGCTGAGACGCACCGCTGTGCCACACTGCTCCTCACAGGCTGCTCCTCACAGGCTGCTCCTCACAGGCTGCTC